TGAATAAAAGTAAAGCAACCAGGCCTGAACTTTGCTCTCTTCCTTTTAACCCGTTTGGCAGCAGACCCCGTCTGACAGGGTTTCCAGCGAGTGGACTTAACAACAACGGGTGTCAACGCGCATGTGTGTGAAGCTTTTACACACACGGGCCGCGCCGCTGCCAGGTAGGACAGAGTGTCTGGGCCCTGCGCGCAGAGAGCCGACTTATAGGTTAAAACCAGAAAGAGGAAGCAAGCAAGAGGCCTCGTTACTCTGACAATTGCCAGACTCCAGGTCTCAACGTTTTCTCTTCCAACAGCAGGTTTTTGGTCTGTGTGGCGTTTTTTTTAACCACGATAAAGTCTGATTAGCAAGAAAATGCACAGAGGATCAATAGAATACTATAAATGATACTGAACAAAAGGTTCACTTTCCAATCTTTGAGCAGAAACGAGAAAGTTATGAGGATGATTTACTGATCATCCTCTCATTATCACTACTGACAAAAGCATTTTTTAAATGTTAAATACAAATTATATATACTTTTTTATAAAAGTTCTGACTTAAATTACTGCTCTGACTGTTGTTCGACATCTAATGATTAAATGACGATAACTGATACATCACAGTTAATTGATTTCGTGTTTTTTATTTTATTATTTTACACGTTGCAGTTTATAAATGAATAATATTCATAAAATTATACCTATTTTTATAGAAAACTTTAGAGAGTAGCTGTGCTAGTTTCTTGGCAACAAGGTATTAAAAACATGTAATTATTTACTATATTTAACCTAATTAATCAGTTCTGATCATAATCTGAAGTTTTCATGGTCCGATTACCTGATTATGGTAATCAGACCATCAAATATTTTTAAAAGTTAAAAATATTTGAAAGATTTCTACAAAACTGCACAAACACAGAGGCTTAGTGAGTATTTTTGTGTAGTTTATTAGCACAGTTGAATTAAGACACAATTAATTCAAAAGTAACTAATCAGCAAGACATGGAAGCTAGTTTTAAGTAAATAATTCCTTAATATTGATGAAAAAGTATCAGTTCCATTGGCAGATTATTTCACTTATAACATGGAGAAAGTTTTGTTTTGTTATGAGTTAAATAATCTGCCAAACGAATTTGTAATTTTTCATTAATATTAAGAAATAATTTACATAAAACAAGCTTCTTTCTCTTGCTGAAAAGTTACTTGTATATTAAAATAAATTAATTGGAAATGAGACTAATAATACTTGATAAGATCTTACAGTGCTTCACTATTTGCTGTGAACTGCTGGTCAGCTGGCTGAATGAAAGCTACTACATTTTGGGGAAAAATAAAGAACTAAGATCAAATTAAAAGCTTTTGGCTGCAATTTTTGTAGCCCATGCTTAAAGACAAATATAAGAAGTGCTGTTATAATTTGAGGTAATGTTAAGTAATCAAAAACTCACAACTACTATGATAAACACAGTTTCCCACATTGCAATATAATCCTGGCGGGCCACCAGGCTTTACTTGTGCCCCCACCTGGCTTAACACTGTTTATTCATTTTAGTTTTTTGTTTTTAATTATTGCCTTTTTTAAGACTTTATAATTGGTGTTTAGATATATTATTCTAGTCTTCCATTAACAAAAAGCTATCAGGTGATATTTTCAAATTTCCCATCAACATTTTTTAACTCAAAAACATGGCAGCCGTCTACCTTAGCGCCTCTAGTGCCCTGTGCCCTGGGCTTAGCAAGTTTTCTGGGGGAAACCCTGAAACTTTAGCAGAACTCTTTAAGCCAGTTGATCAGCAGTGCTTAGCAATGTGTTAATCTAAGCTTCACACACCTGGAGAAAACTCCGCTCACTCCAACACTTCATCTTGAATTGCACTGAAATGAGTTGAAGCCATAGCAGAATGATTTAAAATTTTAGATTTGAAACACTTTTTGTCAGGAGGAGCAGGAAAACTGCACCGGTAGAACTTTTTAAAAGCCTGGTACTGATAACCGGATCATGTCTAGTGGAAATCTATTGCCAACAGAAGAAAATATGGATAGAAATGTAGCAGAAATACATTAAAAAAAATACTATGACTACGTTTAGGTGGGATTATTAAAAACATACAAGCTGCTCAGTTTATATAATCCACACTTTTGTCTTCATTCCCCTCTGTTAATGTTTGCTCATGTCACAGGACAGCTGTTATCAGCGCTTTAGCCTGCACTGATAGTACTGATTTTACTTACAATACAGCACACTCTTCAGGATTTCAACACTCAGAAGAGCGCAGTGTTTACAGGACTGTAAAAAGGAAGTAATAAAAGACTTGAAACGTTTACAACGCCAGAATTTTTACATGATGTCACTTTGAGGATTCAGACTTAAACACGCCCAACCTGCTCTTTTTAAAAAGTATATTTTGTTCGGTTGGTTTTATATTTATCCGGTTGCAGCACTGACTCGGAGCGGCGAAGACAAACACAGGCTGGGGATTGTTTCAGCGCCACCTTACAGATTCATGTGACTTTCCAAGCATCACCTGACTTCAACTCTCCTGTTCCACGGCAAGGAAAAGCATCGATGTGAAGTTAAAAATATAAAAATATGTCAGAGAAGACCGAGCTGTATGCAACAGGACTGTTAAAACACAGGCTAACAGAAGTGCCTTTGGCCAAACCCTTGGAGATAAAGAGGAGCCAACTTTAAAGATAAGAGGGGACAACTTCCAACGGGCAGCGCTCCTTCAGACAGCACCTGATAAAAAAATGAAAAGCAGCTAAAAATAAATCCATCGTTTTATTGCAGCTGAATTATCTCTACATAAATCCAACCTTTAATTTCAAGACATTTATTCCATGAGCGGGAAAAAACATGCTGGTATTCACAGTTCGGTAGTATTTGCGTATTTTTCTGTGGAATATACCATTAGATTATTTGTGGATTTTTTTGGTTTTATATAAAAAAAGAAAATGCAGCTTGAATATCTGAGGGCAATGCTACTTGACACGCTATCGGCACAGCAGCAAATCCAGGAGTTTCCGCTGATTGGCTGCAATCTTTATCTCCTCAGGAGCAGCGATAGAGAAACTGTAGACATTAGCTTCTGCAGTAGTGCTAAGACAGTTTACACTCTACATATTAATGAATATTAACGTGTATATGAATTAAATTAGGAAGTTATAAGTTTTTACAAGGAGTCATAAATATTAATGGGATTCAGATACTTGTGCCACCTGTGATCTGTATATTTGATATCGAAACAGGCTCACAGTATCGTAAATACAGCCTAACCTGTCTTGAGTCACAGGAATGCAATGAAGAGGTCAGAGTGCGATTCAAACTTTTGCCCGACAGAAAATATATGAGATTCAATGGTTCTGTCAAGGCTAAATAGAAGACCAAGGAATAACATATTAAAGACCAGCTTTCCTTTTTTAAAGAATTTAAGACTTTTTAAGGCTTTAATTTTAAATAAAAGCCTTAAAAAGGCTTAAAAAGCACGCACTGTGTGAAGGAAAGCCCGCTGCTCCAAATGAAACCCCAGCATGCACTTTTTAAGGACATGCGGACGTCGTGCCAACAGTGAGGTTTTTTTTACGTCTTCCAGTTATTGCACTGACTATAAGACTTAGATCACATGTATTAAACTTAAGGCCCGAGGGCCAAATCTAGCTCGACGTAGCTTTTAATGTGGCCCTGTAGATTCTTGACTAAACACCAGGTGTGCTTAAATATTATGTTATCAATCAAATCAATGCAGCTTTTATTTGTTTACTGTCTAATTATATCAGTCAGTTCCTCCAGTTTCTTGAGAATTATCATGGAAATTCACGCAAAATTAGCACATTTTTTGCACTAATACATAATTTTATTGCATATCTTTTTAACAAAAACTCTTATTTGTACTAAACAGCTGCCTCAACCTTAGTTGATGTCAGATTATTGTCCGTGATCTAAACAGTAAGGAAAATCACATTTACCGTCATAAATAAGTGCAAGTATTTCCAAATTAGCACCACAAACACAAAATCCTGGAGGGACTGAAAATATGTTCAATAATATTATTTAATTTTAAGAATTGATTGATATTTTAACAGTTTGTGAACAGGTTTTATCAATAGATTCAGGCACAACTGGGCCTTGAAGATCTTGATTTGGTCCAAAACGAAAATGAGTTTGACAAACTGATTTAGGTAGTAGATGTTTTCTAATTTATAAACATCAAACTGCATCTCTTTTATTGTTGCTCATAGAAATGCCATTTACATAACTAGTTCCTATTAATGTACGATACAGACTGAACTTTTCTACCAGTTTCAGAGGGAAATTAAAGCCCTGCAATAAAAGATCAATTAATTTACCACAGGGGTGTCATTGCATGTGGTCACCACCGTAAACCTCTTGTTATTTACATGTGAACCAAGAGGGGAAGCAGAAGGAGAGTACTGTAATCGGCGAGTCGCTTTGCATGTCCAAACTTCCTTTTACAGGCAACAGAGGAGGCTCTCTGCTGTGTCCAAGGTACTGGATGAGCCTTCCAAACAATCCGGGGCACCATGGAAAGACTCACCAGAAGCTGCACCTTGCAGCTCCCAGCATTTCCCAACAGCAGTATCTAAAGCACAAACGTCCTGTGTGAAGGAAAGCCCGCTGCTCCAAGTGAAACCCCGACCCGCATTGCTTCTGAGGCTGCTGTTGAATCAATACAATGGCTCCAAAGAGGTCCAACACTGGCCACATTTCACCGCAGGTCAGACCCAGCTTTGCATATCGCCATGGAGACATGTCAAACACGCTGACGTGAGGAGATATATGTATGATTTTCCAAAGGCTGACTACAATCGCGGCTGGGCTCGCCACACCCAGAGCAAACATATCTCAGCCGTGTTCACGTTATGACCCGACACCAGAACGCTGTGGCTTCCAGCTCCAGAAACACACAACCAAAACCAGACAACCCAAACCCAGCAGGCTGAACCTGAACCTGCTTTCTGGCTCTTATAACGGCGGTGCGTTCGCTGGACTCTTACTATTGTGCGCAGTCGATGAGCTGGTATTCGTTGGATCTCTCGAAGCATGCCTTCACTCCTTCGTCATCCCACAGCTTCTTTGCGTGATCGAAGAACTCCTGCAGAAAAAAGAAAAACAAAGAGGAAAGTTTTTAAGAGAAATACTCCAGTTTATCATGTCTGTACAACATTTCAAAATCCTTAACTTTGTTAAGGTCAGCTAGAGCTCAAAAGACCAAATATGTTACAAAGGAAACTACACATATTTCCACTTTTAGAAACAAAATAAAGTATATAAAGTTTATTTACTGCCTGTTGTTTATACTGGTTGTTTGAATTTAATGTAGATTTTAGTTTATTATACTGCTGTTTATAAACTAATTTATCTAATTATGTCAGATTTCGCTTTACTTCTATTTTATTTGTTTTTATGTACTTTGTAATTAACTTAATTTATACTAGTTGTCTGAATTAAATGTCAATTTTAGTTCTTAATATTTCTACGGCAATCATTTCATTTAAATGTATAAATTTACGAGTATTTGTTTATTAAATTTGTTAAAACTGTTTTTTTAAACCAAACTTATTTAATTATTTTGGACTCTTGAGGCAGATTTCAGTTTACTTCCATTTCATTTATTTTTCTACTTTTTAATTAAGTTATATTATATTTTATTTTATACTTGCAATTTGAATTAAATGTATATTTCAGTTTGTTTTTAATTTTTATTGTATTTATTTATACCACCTGCTCAAATAAAGCGTGCATTTTACATTTTCTCTTTCTTACGTTCATTTATGTACTTTTATAATTTTTTTTTATTACATTGTTTTATTGTAGTTTTTCAAATTAAATGTAGATTTTAGTTTTGTTATTCTGCATTATTTATTTTCTAACTGTTGTTCATATATTTATTGTATTTTTTGATCTTCAAGGATTGAAGAAGCTATGCTCAGTTTTTATTCCTACTTAGTATCTTTCCCTGACACCAACATAATTATTTCCAGCAAAACGTTTGTTAATGGCACATTTATATTCCATGTTACCCTTATCTGTCTCTCCATTTATTATTGTACAGTATTATCCTTGTTAAATAGGAAAAGTGCTTTAAAAATAGAATTTGGTGAGTCAAAAACTACATTTAGGATATTTAGATTTATGTTTTTTCCCAATAAAAATACAAATACAAAATGAATTTGATATCTATGTTAACAGAAGTGCAGCTACATCAGTAAACATGCATGTGTTGCTCACAGCAGGGCCTTGCAGTACAAACTGTTCCTAAGTCAGTTTATGCTAGTCGCTCAAGTTTTGCCAGGTACATTTTTCACGGGACGTTTTGCATCCTGCAGCATTTTAAAACATGTGATACAAACATGTTTTCAAAAAATAACGTTCAGTCTTGTTCTTTGTATCATTTTGTCTTGCTCATGCATCATAATCTGTCATACTTAATCATCAACCAGACGAAATGGTGAGAATAGGGTTCAAGTTCTAGAAAATAAAGTACTGTGAGCCGCTACTTTTTCCCCACGCTTTGAACCATGTGGATTGTAGCCCGGTGTGGCTTTTCTGTGGATTTTCCTTCAACCACCAGGGGGCTCTTTAGCAGGAAGTGAATCTTTGGAAGTCAAAATTGGAAATCAAAGAAAGTGCTAATTTTCATTTAGAACAAGCACATGCTAGCAGCAGGCACGACGGAGAAATGTTATTAAATTGATGTGATGCAGCTTTTAAGTTGAGGGTTATCGATCTGGCAGTACAGGAGGAAAATAGAGCCGCCGTATGAAAACTCGGTGTGAACGAAACCATGCAGCGTCCTAATAAATCCAGCAGATTTATTAGGACGCTGCCCTCTGCTGGGTCCTTGTGGAAAACCGAGATATCAGCAGCTTATAGCCCAGTGCGGCTTATATATGTACGTTTCCATTTATTTATTTATTTATTCAAAAAATCTGTAAGTGCGGCTTATACTATGGTGCGCTCCATAGTCCGAAAAATACAGTAATTAAATCAAATTATATGACTGATTTGGCCATTTCTATTCATATTCACCAATAGAATCTTTTTTAAAATACCAAAATCACTTAGATGTGTGATGGTTGTAGTTTATTTGAGGGTATGAAAAGGAAAAATGCTACAGAAGACAATGACAATGAGTGGCTACAAAAGTAGTGAACAAACTGGTGAAGGGCCTGATTGATCCGGAGTCCCTGCAGGCAGCGGCACTAATATGCAGCTTTATTGGTCACATCGCAGGGGTGCGTTGCCAGATCTAACCAACGTCCATCATCTATACCAGAGGATGGCACATGTCCTAGAGTAGGGGTGTTCAAACTGCTGCCCCGGGGCCATTTGTGGCCTTTGCATGAATTTTGAGTGGCTCCTGACTGCAATTCAAGACAAACGTGACCTTCCAACAACTTTTGTAATTTTATTTTTTTTAATAATGACAAATTTATATCTTTTTAAATTTAAAATGTGAAGTACAACGCAAAGATTTTTTTCTTTAGTTACCCTTTTTTACCCAATAAAAACATTCAGAGTTTTTTTTTTTTTTTTACTCAAAAACAGACAATCATGCCATTTGGCTACAAAACAAAAGGAGAAATTTGTAGAAGGAAATTCTTATTTTTGTTACTGAGAAGAAACTCAAATTGAAAATAATGAGACCAATTTATTGTCTCTTTATGTGTCTCATGTTGAGCAGGTAACATAAAAAGAATTTACAATAGTTGGGGGTTTTTAATTGAGGGGCAAAAAAACTAAATGTTGGCGAGAGAGAGCAAGGTTTCAACAGAAAGGCTGAGCAAAGTATGTTCGTTTCAGTCCATCAACCAAAATCAACCACCAAACATCGATGGATCTGGAAAAGCCACATCCTGTGATCATCACTTATTCAAAGTTCAACAGGAGAGTGTCAACCTACAATAGACATCTATAGAAAAATAAGCATTAAAAAAAGTTAATCTATAGTAATCAAGATGTCAGCGTGCCCCTCCCACACAAAAGGTATGTAAACTTTATTACTAAGTCAAAATTGTCAAGTCAAAATTTCAGAATCTAAAATAAAGCAAATGAACTAGACAATTGAAATGGAAATGGATCTTTTTCATTATAGGTCCAAAACCTAAAAGGTATTTTTCATGTTTGCTGTATTCAAAGAAAAGCATCCAGTTCGCAAATAATTTTGAGTTTGATTGAACTATTTTTTTTCAGTTACATGATTTGGGTAATTTTCTTTCAAAACTATATTTAGCAAAGTTTAATAAATTTAATAAAAGATGATTTGTGTGCAGCAAAGTCGGCTTTTCAGTAAAAGCTTCTGGATGAACATGGTTCTATTTATTATAAACACTTGTTTATAAAAACACAAATACTTTGTGTTGTACTTCACATTTACTTTAATTTGACCCTGATAACAAATTAAAAGTCTCCATCTGCATCAACCATCTGTACTGGATGGGCTAACTTTGCCGCACAAAATAAGTCCAAGGGCCACTAAGGCCTCTAGTAGGGGTGTATAGCTGAAATTGTATAAAGCCTTATCAAGTCCAGAGGACTCCAAAGCTTCACACGACATTTGCACTCTGCGTATTCATTGCATCGTTTATTATTTAAATTATATTTTTACTATTTTCTCCACCATTTGTTCCATGATATAATTAATAACTATCAGTATATTCAAACAATATGGCCAACTACAGTTACTATGGGTAGTTTAAATCACTCTTCTTTAGGACTATTTCAACCTGATATGTTTTTCAAGAATGAGGCGTCATGCAGTCATAGCCGTACCTAAAAATGAAGTAATAAATAGCTAATTATCATCATTTATACCTTTATCTCAGTACATAGTTCCTACAAATCTGAACCAGAAGTGATCACCGCCATCTTAGCAGGCAAGTGCATCACAAAGAATGGTGGATCCATGGCTTCCAGACCAACAATAGCAAAAAATGTGGACACTCTTGACCAATGTGCAAGAAAAAGATGCATGAACAAAATGGCTGCTGTCATGATCGGTTCGTATGAGATGGAGAAGGAAAACATGTCAGACGATGTGGACAAACTGCCGCTGATCTTATACTAAGATAGCATTAACTAGCAAATAGGAAGAGTGCGCAAATCTGAGATGCATACTATCAGTGTTTCAATTAAGTTGTTAAAGAAGTACACAATCTTTGCAGGAATAACAAGTTTCTGGTGACCAGCAAAGTAAGTACATGTAGTAACCAAAACTTAGGCTACATGTCCGTCTTAGCTGCCAGGCTAATTTTTCTAGTTCGGCAGTAAATACTACAGCATACTTATATTAATATTACACAGAGGTAAGTAGAGTACATAAAAACTGTCATTGAGTAATATGTTTTATGTACACCAAACACATTTTGAGCATCAGGTGCATCTGGTTTACATTTAAAGTCTATGTGGAGGCGCGTGGAGGGCCGTGGAGGCTTTATTTTGAGCGCGTAGCGCAGCAAAATTTTAACTGTTTGGAGTGTTTGAAGCGTCCAACTGAGAACAATGGCTGGAAATGACATGTTTGACGCGCCTCCGCATAGACTTTGAACGGAAACCAGACGCGGGAAATGGAAGGTGAAGAGCAAAATCTCAAGCGTCCACATTCAAGTTGCACACGCTTTGACCTTGAAGCTTGGGATGCGTTTTTGACGCGTGCAGCGCTTTTGGTGTGAACGCACCATTAGATAGGAACAAGGTAAGAGCTAGTTTTAAGCTTGTACCATGTTTGTTGTTGTCATAGCAACTCCATAGCAACTGCCTACCAAGATGGCGGTCAGTTACAAAGTTCATGGAAGTGTGACATCACATGACAACTAATAATTGTAATAAGTTTTATTACGATAAAACTTGATTCAGATGGAAGAAAGCATGGAGATTCAAATGTTTCTGATGCTTAATGTCATTTAAAATATACATATAGTAACCTATTCTTTACATTAAGAAGGCATCTATCAGAATGATGCCATCTCCAGCTCATTTCCTGTTCCTGGACAAAGAGGAGCATTATGGGGAAGGGGAGGGAGGGTCTCTTCCCATGACTCTAAGACATTTCCCAGGACTCTCTGTTTGCCCTGTGCAGGGACCATTGGGCGC